TGATTGAGAGTTACCCTGAATAGCTGCCTGACAAGACTCACTGGCACCTGCCTCATTGCCATGTTTTTTTTATACTTTGGTCTCCCCCTGTACCCTGAGCCACTGTCTCTCTCACCGGAGGGGCCATCCTTTGCACAGCTAGCCTCAAATACACCCACATCCTCTGCCTCTGTCCGTGGTCCTGAAATATTTTTTTGGTGCGCTTAGGACCAGGCTATTTCTCCTAAGCCTGGGACGCTTGCTGGTTCATCCAGGTATTCACTCAATATCTTCATCAGTTAGCTTTGACTGTCCAAGAAGCCATCCCCAAACATAAGCATCAAAGTTTAAAAAAAAACATTAGTTTTTTCTCACAAATCTGTGGGTTACTTAGACCATCTTGGTTCGGGCCATCTTGGCGATCTGTGGTCAGCCAGCGGTTTGGCTGAAGTTGGATGAGCGAGGATGATCTCGCTCATATGTCTGATTGATAAGCTGTTGGCTGGGGCATCTCAGTTACCTCCTGTGCAGCCTCTCCGGCATGTTAGCCCAAGCTTATTTGTATGGTGAACTCGGTGCTCCAAGCCCACAAGAGAAGACAGGATCCAATGCTCAAGTTGTTTACATGTCTCTGCCACATTGCTAATGTTCTATTGTCCAGGGCCAATCACCTAGACAAGGTCTGAGTCACTGTGGGAGAAGAGTCCCCAGAGGGAACACATGAAGTCGAATGACTGTGGCTGGTTTTCAAAACCAATCTGCACTCCTTGCACCCTCAAAACACCACGAGGCCACAAGCAACGGGATGACCTTCTGGCGAAGCCACCAAGAGACAAGTTTGTCCCAGAGCTGTTTTAAGCTGAGAATCACTTGGCCTCTGCTGAAATCACTTTCATAATTGTATCACGAACAATTAAAAGTCTCTTTTGAGCCTTCCCTGTAACTTTCAAGGCCACACCTCCAGTTCTTGCTGCATCAGAAAAGAACTATTTTTTCACTTCTAAATGAACAAAAACATCTTCTGAATTGCAAGCCTTTTTAACAATTTCTTTCAGTTGTGCATGGCTAGGCAGTAATCTTAGGAATCTTGGATGAATGCAGAGGAAATCTGAAGTGCGGTAGAATTCTCTGGTCCCCAACTCCCCAGAAGGGAGGAGGCTTTAGAGAGCACCTGCTAGGGGACAGAGCCTTACATAAATTCTCATCTGGTCCTCCCAACAGTCCCTCCTTGAGAGTGCCCATGGAGAAAAAAACACTGATGTTGGAGAGATTCGGTGTCTCGGCCAAAGTCACAGAGGTGGCAAGTTACACGGTGAGAATTCAAAACCAGAAGTTCTTACCTCAACATGCATTCTTTGCAACACAGTCATTAATGACCTCAGGGCTGCAGTGTTTAGAGTCATGGTCTAGGGGCACAGGCTCTTTGATCCCAGCTCTGCCTCCAGCTGTGATGTGACACTGAGACAGACACTCACCTGTCCCCTTTGAGCCGCTGTTGTCTCATGTGCAATATGAACATGGAAATACCTGTGCCTCCTAATCTGGGCTCAGGCAGGGCAAATTAAAACAGCCTTGGGCTGCTTCCCTATACCTTGAAGAGCAAGTCTTCTAGAGTGATCCTGGCAGCACCTTTCAAATGTTAAATGTGTGCCCTCGATCTTGCATTTCTACTTCAAAGAATCTGTGTTAAAGAGCTATGTCTACGTGTGATTTGGGGTGTATGCACAAAGATGTTTATTTCGGCACTGTTTACAATAGCAAAAAAAAAAAAAAAAAAAGCCCAGAAATGATGTAAATGCCAAAACGAATTACATTTATCCATTTTGTGAAAAAACTGTTGGTCATTTTACTTACTTATTTGTTTGTTTATTTATTGATTGAAGATCTAATTGGCTTTATTAAGTGATTCATGAATCGGGCAACATCCCATCTAGCAAGTAGAGATGCTTCCTATTCATCTTTTTTAAAGGCAGAGAAAGACTTATGGATGAGGATATGTGTCCAAGATATTTTATTTTATTTTATTTTATTTTTTTTAATTTTTTTTTCAATGTTTTTATTTATTTTTGGGACAGAGAGAGACAGAGCATGAACGGGGGAGGGGCAGAGAGAGAGGGAGACACAGAATCGGAAACAGGCTCCAGGCTCCGAGCCATCAGCCCAGAGCCCGACGCGGGGCTCGAACTCACGGACCGCGAGATCCTGACCTGGCTGAAGTCGGACGCTTAACCGACTGCGCCACCCAGGCGCCCTAAGATATATTATTTTAAAGAGTATAGTAGATCTATAACCAGAAAAACCACTAAAACATTCTTTAAATGAAAAGAATACATTTTAGCTTGGTAAATAAATTTATATATGCTTGTTCAGGTTCAACAAGAGAGAAGGAAGACTGAAAGAAACCCAACAGATGGTTAACAACTACTGCCTCTGGCAACGTATTAGTTTTTTGGGTTGCTGACTTGGTTTTCCTTTCCATAGTTCTATATTGTTGAAACATGTGCACCACAAATATTTATTATATTTTTAATGTAAAGAAAAAGCATGGGATGCCTGGATGGCTCAGTCAGTTGAGTGACTGACTCTTGATTTTGGCTCAGGCTATGATCCCGGGGTCATGGGATTGAGCCCTGAGTCAGGCTCCGAGTGCCCCTCTACCCCACTAGTTCTCTCTCTCTCTCTCAATAAAAAGAAAAGAGAGAGAGAGAGAGAAAGAAAGGAAGGAAGGAAAGAAGGAAAGAAAGGAAGGAAAGAAGGAAAAGAAAGAAAAAGAAAGAAAGAAAGAAAGAAGGAAAGAAAGAAGGAAGGAAGGAAAAGAAAGAAAAAGAAAGAAAGAAAGAAAGAAAGAAAGAAAGAAAGAAAGAGAACAAGTGCAATTCCAGTGCTGGAAGAAATTTTGAAGAGGACCCTGACCCACGGAGAGAAGCTTGCCATGGTCACCTAGCCAACCATTGGTAGAGTCAGGCCGAGCCCCTGGCCTCTCGATGCCCAGCCCAGGCTGGTTTCACTCATCAGAACAAGACCTTCAGAAAGCATGTAAGCCACATAAACATGAAGAATAGCTAATGTCGTACAAGGGGAAAATCCTGGTCAGAGTGCAGTGAATGGCATTCAGCCTTGGCTCAGCCACCTACCTACTGGGCAAAGTCACTTAACTTCTCTGAGCCCTATTTTCAGCATTTGTAATATGAGACTGATTATGTCCACCTCCCAGGGCTGTTCTAAGCCTCAAATAAGACAGGCAGCAGGTCCTGGCAGCAAAAGCATGAACTTGAACCCTAAACAGATCTGTGTTCAATTATTCAGTCCCCTTCTCTGAACACTGGAACTCGCAAAACCCACCTTACTGGGTTGTTGGCAAGCTAAAGTGACAAAATTCATGTCAACCACTTGGCACGGTCTAGGGACTCAATACGGAAGCCATCATCATGATGGAAAAGCTCTGTGAGGACTGATGGGCTTGGCAAGGCTCGCGCCAAGCATCGAGGTCTTGTGATTCCTGGGTTGCCTTCCCTCCTGGCCCCCTCGTCCCACCTTCCCTCCTCCTTGAGGCAGGATGCAAGTTCCCTGGTGCCCCAGGGCTCCGGCTCAGTGGGGAGCCACCCTCTGACACAGCTGCTCCCTTGGCCAAGGGCAGAAGGCAGCTCTACATTTATGGGCCTTGCCGAGGCACAGCGTCACTCCTGGGGAGAGAAGGGCACGCTTGGAGTCTGGAACCAGACAGGGACAGATTCAAATCCTGAATCGGCCCCTTCCAGGTTTTAGGACCTTCGGACTGCATTCTGCAAGCAATAGGGAGCCACGGCAAGCTGTGAAGAGAGTGGCCCGATTTGAGAGAAAAGTGGGTTCTTTTCTCCATACGTGAACGCTTGTCTCTGTTCCCAGACGCAGGAATGAAGAAGACATAACCTTTCCCTGTGCCTTTTAGGACGGAGGGAATCTAGGCCGTGTCTTCCGTAGCCAGTGCAGGACGGGCTAAGGGGGAGCGAGGGACGGGACATTTAGCGGAAGAATATTGCAGCATCCGAGGGTAGCTTGGGTTTGGGGACTGGCCAGGGGCTTGGGGCGAGGGAGAGTCCTTCCCAATTCCCTCACTGGGCTCAGGGAAAACGCCCCCCAGGGGCCCGGGTCAGGCCTCTGCTCAGCACCACGCCTCTGGCAATTCTCCCTCATCCCCGCTAGTCCCTGACTTGGCTCTCCTCCCTCGGACTCACTTGACGTACAACATGGATTGCACCGAACTATATGCCAGTCTGGCCCGGAATTGCAGCCGGGTGCCCCCACCTGGTGACCTGCCAGCAGCTGGGTAGAGAAGGAGGACGACGCCAGGGCTCTGTGACTGACTCCGGGCGTGGGAGGGGCACGACTCTGCATTCAGCTGGAGCCTGTTTTGCATCCTAAGCACAAGGGTGGTCCTCCCCGGCCACGACAGAGCCACCACGAACCGCCCCCCTTCACCCCTCTCCTAGGAGGTGTCCGTGGCCTCAGCCCCATGTGTGTCCCCGAGGAGCAGCTTCACACCCCTCCCCCCCCGGGCCCCCCCCCCCCCCCACCGTCTACCGCTCGAGCTTCTGACTCGCCACTGGGAAAACACGACATGAACACGCGAAGCCACAGTGAGTCAGTGGATGTGTGGTTCTGACGGCGAGGTGGCGAAGAGTCAGAGAAGGGAAAACCCCGAACGGCCAGAGCGTGGGGCTCTGTCTCTCACCAAGAGCCTGGCCCCGGGGCCATAGGCCAGGCCGGCCTGATTTTGACTTCCCACGTTGGGTCTTTATTTATTTATTTATTTATTTATTTTTAACGTTTATTTTTGAGACAGAGAGAGACAGAGCATGAATGGGGGAGGGTCAGAGAGAGAGGGAGACACAGAATCAGAAGCAGGCTCCAGGCTCTGAGCCATTAGCCCAGAGCCTGACGTGGGGCTCGAACTCATGGACTGCGAGATCGTGACCTGACCTGAGCTGAAGTTGGACGCTTAACCGACTGAGCCACCCAGGCGCCCCCCCCACGTTGGGTCTTTAAATGAAGGCACAAAGGGTGCGGCCTCGAGGAGAGGCACAGCAGTAGGCCGGCCGAGGCTCTAGGCCGAGACAACAGAAGCTCTCGGCGCATCAAGCAAAGGTAAAGGACACGTGTATTCAGGAGGAAAAAAAAAGAAATAGCGATTCTCTGGCACTTTCTTCTTCTAGCAAGCCTTCGCTTCTAAGTCGGAATGTGGGTCTCTGCATTTTACTTCCAGCGTTTGCAAGAGGCTTTGCTGCTTTGTTTCTGTTGGCGTGCTACCTCCCTGCCCCCCCGGAAGGTAAGGGCTGGAAGCTGCAGGGACCCTTCGTAGTCAAAGTGGGGGGTCCGGGCCAACCGCACCGGCGTCTCCTGGGAGCTTGTTAGCAACGCAGTCTCAGACCCCACCCCAGACCCACGGCATCAGACTCGGCCTTTTCGTTCATTCCGCAGGTGTTTCCGGTACACGTTGGATAAGTCACGCCCCGAGGCGGGTGCGCTCCGGCCACCGGCAGGCACCGACATTGATCGCAGGTAACGCGGCGGGGGGTGGTCACTTACGATTTTCGTAGCTAACTGGAATGTCCATTTATAGCGAATGATGCATGGCTTACCGAAATGGCCGAGTGACATCCACTGCTGTGTCTCAACAGTGAGTCGACTTCAGGGAAACGTCCAGTGTACGTGGATAGTAAGGCGTGCTCGGAATGAGGTGACTGTTCCCAGGAGGGCCGATCCGGCCCGGCCCTCAAGGCGGGTGGTGGCGAGGACACAGCCGCACACAGAGAGAGGGGACTTTGCCAAGGTCACGCGGGGGAAGTGTGGCAGAGGCAGGACTGGAGCCCAGGGCTGTAGCCACAGGTCACTGGGGTGCCCCTTCCCCCTTTAAGCCAACTGCCCAGCTGCAGACCTGAGCCCAAAGCGGGAGCTCTGGCCGCAGTGGCCTCGGGAACTGGGACATTTGCAGGTGACATTAGGCAAATCAGCGGTGTAAATGGCTGTTACTGAAAATGAAGGTATCATGTGGCCTGGGGAGGCCAAGGGTGAGTCATTTCAAGATGAGCTGTCTCCCTCCACCCAGGGACCACGGGGCACCCAGTTCTTCCCTCATGAATAAACACTTTAAGCTGTTCTGCGTAGGCTGAGAAGCCCAATGTGTTCTCAGTGTCGTCTGGTGAAGTTTTGCAAGTAGGAAACCCGAGCAAGTGGGGAAGGAGTTGGTCACTGATCTTCAGCCTGGCTTGCGGAAGTCTGCTCAGATTTCTGGGATAAGGACATTCAGCTGTGTCACCAAATAAAAACAAAACAAAACAAAACAAAACAAAACACCCCTGCATAATATTTTAAGGTTTTCTCAGCCCTTTCTGAACGACTTGCGATTCAGGATCGTCGGTATCTGTCCAATTTTGCACTTTTCCTACAGTACGGAATAAAGTGGCAAAATTTGCCATCAAGTCTCCCGTCCCCTCTCCTTGTTCCCAGCTCCTTATCCTGACATGCAGTCGTGTCATCAATATGGCCTTAATCTAGCTTTCTGTCCCACACCGCGTTTTAGCCCAAATATACCATGAATCACACGTGGCCCAACCACAGCCGCCTTCTGCAATTTCCCCCACCCTGCATTCTGCAAAAGCCTGGCCCCTCTGTCTAGAACTTCCTCTCGCCTCATTGAAATACTTCTTCTGCAAGTTGCAGTTTTTAAGCGCCCTTTCCTCCAGGAAGCCTCTTTGGATTGTCCCCAAGCCCTATTGGGAACTCTCGCAGCCATCTGTTGCGACCTGGTTATGGCGTTTAGAACAAGCCTCGAATCTCCAGGGTTGTGGCTGAGTTTCCCTTGCCTCTGCGTTCCTGGCTTCCTTGCCTGACTCCCAGAGATGCTTCCCGAATTAAAGGACCTGGACAAGTCCTAGGTTTGATTCCCAGCTCACTGGCAGGACTAGTTAGGGTATGACACCGGGCCAGTTACCTAACCTGATGACTCAGCTGTAAAATGGGAAAATGAATCACTTCTTCGCAGGGAAAGCATAAAAATTAGATGAGGTGGCAGGTACTGTGTGCGTAACTTACAGCTTGGCACCTGCTGGTGTCAAGTAAGTCATAGCTAACATTAGTACCGTGGGTAATAATAAAATTTAATGCTATTTGGAGCAAAAGGAAGATTCTGGGCCCCCGGCACATCCTGCCCACTTCCCACTGGTCCTTCTGCTTGGCTGTGCCTCCCTCACATTCCGGCCCCCAGGCCTGCTCCAAACCCTCCCCCTCTCCTTCACCCATGTCTTCAGTAAAGACCACAGGCACCTAAGGGGTCTGCAGTCTTAGTTGCGCTAGGAGACAATGATCTGGTCCCCCAACCCCCACCCCCCTGTGAAGGAACCAAGGCCCCAAGGCTGCAGCTCTCAGACCCGGAAGGTTCTGCGGTTTCCAGAGTGTCGTTTCCTCCCCCAGATCTGGCACAGATTTGGACGCCGAAACGCCGCTGAACTTCTCCTTCTCTGTTTTCGCAAAACAAATGGCCCTCTCTGAGTCTGCATCGTCCCTAACGAATGTACTCATACGAGAGAAGTATAACTTCCGGGGCTCTCCTCTCTGAGCTGGGAGGAGACCACGGGGCAAGAAAACATTCCCAGGACACACGGAGGGATCCATCCCTGGGACAGAACAAGGAGCAGGCCGGCCAAGCCTGCCCGGGAGCAGCCGGGGAGGAGCTAGAGGGCAGCTCAGGGGACCGCCGCAGGAGTGAAATAGGAAGTAGGATTTTGCAAGGGCTCGCGACGAACTCTGAGAGCGCCCCTATGAGGGAGGCTCTCTTTTCATCCCTACATCACTGTGGGGATCAAGGCAACAGACACTGGCTCCATTTTTTCTTAAGTTATTTATTTTGAGAGAGAGAGAGAGAGAGAGAGTATGTGCATGAGCAGGGGAGAGGCAGGGAGAGGGCGAGAGAGATCCCCAAGCAGGGCTCGATCCCACGAACCACGGGATCACGACCTGAGCCGAAATCAAGAGCCAGACGCCCAACCGAATGAGCCACCCGGGTGCCCCTGTTTCCATTTTAAACATCACACAGCTCCATTTGGTCTAAAAGAAAAAAAAAAAAAAACCTACTCAGATGCTCAGGAGAAGGCGGGACAGGGGTGTGGGGCTTGGAGTACAGGGATGTCTGCCCAAGCCCAGCTTGCAATGCTCACTCCTTTGAGTTAAAGCACTGAGTGAGAATTCAAGGAGTTAAGAGGAAGAGGGAGAACGCGCTGTTCTAGCTCCTTCCCAGGACGGGCGATGGTCAGATACATGGCCCGCCCTTCCCTGGCAGAGCTCCGGGGCCCCCGGGTTAAGTCCAGCTGAGAAAAGGCAGGATCTGGCTCAGAGGTGTGGACACCACACAAGAAAAACAGGAGAAAAACCCGTAGAATACGCCCGAAGTCACATGCTATCATTTTCAAGTCTGAGACTCACTGGCCCGGGGAAAAGCCCAGACTACCTGCCGGGGGATGAGAGAGCCAGCAGCAGGGCCCGATCTCCCCCGTTACCAAGGATGAGGCCATCCTCAATCGGCCAGCAGCCAGCCGACCCCACACACACGAGAACCCAGCCAAGAACAGCGGGGTCTCCTTGTGGCTGACCCCATACCTGAACGTAGTTATTACGTGCCTCCGAGGTTTTCTGGTTGTTTCTAGCACAGCGTTACTGGGGCAATAGACAACCGATGCGGTGTATTCGTTCTCATCTGATACTTGGCCGAGAAGAACTAAGTGCCGTCCCCTGACAGCTCCCCCACCCCAATTGTGGATCTCTAAGAAAGCTTAGGCGGAAAGTACTTGGAAGAAACAAGCGATTTGTTGGCTTCTCGTTTCTGAACCGAGGCTAAAACGTTTTGTCTTCGTTCAGAGACAGCACGTGACTGAAATCGTCAATTACTGCACTCATTAAACATTCTTTTATTTTTATTTTTATTTTAACGCTTATTTATTACTGAGAAACAGAGAGAGACAGAGCATGAGCACGGCAGGGGCAGAGAGAAGGGGAGACAGAATCCGAAGCAGCCTCTGGCTCCGAGCTGTCCACGTAGAGCCCGACGCAGGGCTCGAACTCGTCAACTGTAAGATCATGACCGGAGCCGAAGTGGGACGCTCAACCGACCGAGCCACCCAGGCGCCCCTAAACATCCTTAAAACAAACCAGTTGGACATCCTGAGCCTCTCTGCCTCCTTTCAGAAACCTCACTAAAATGACAGACAGGGGTGTAACAGGATAAACACGAAAAAGGGGGTTGGGGAGGATGAAAGAGAAGACAGCAAATCGGGTTTCGAGACGATTTTAGAAGGTAAGAGACAGATACACCCCTGATAAAGAGCTCCAGAAAGTAGGTGTCCTTGGGAAAAATAAAATGAAACTGAACTTCTGTCTGACAGTTTACCCATATTTGGAGGAGTTTTGCAATTCTCTTGGAGAATTCAGAGGTAAATTCGTAATAGGGATATAGAACACCGAACGAACAGCCAAGAAGGAGAAATTATTACCTGCAGAAAAAGATAAAGCAAGAGAAAGGAAATGTATTCGTAATTCACGACATCCGCGGTGCAGCTGTGAGCAATATTCAAATTGTCGTAATAGTGTAAACACTGAGCATGGATACATCACCAACATTTGTGATAGAGCTATACTTGGAGGGCAGAGGGGGGAGAAGTTGTGTGTGTGCGTGTGTCAGAAAGTTAAATGCTATCCTGCGAAGCCAGGAGATGATGTTTACAATGGGGAAAGAAATCAGAAAATAGACGTATAATCACGGTATTCAAAAACATGAAAACTGTGGAGAAAACGATCGTCTCAAGAACGCAGGAGTGGGGTCGGGGTGAAGTAGGACAGGGGACTGCTTTCTTCGGCCAGCAGCCTTGTCAGCCTTTTGAACGCTAGACATGGGTATGGCCGCAATAAAAATTTAAATTCAGTGTTAAAAAAAATCACTTGAGGGCCACTTGGCGTAGAATTACAGAACGTACGAAATATTCAGTGATCACACATTTTTAGTCACCTACCAAAACAATAAAGCTGGTGCATCCCCGGCCTCCCCAGCACCCTGCCTGGCTGCTGAGGCAAACAGGTCTACTAACTGTCCGTGACCTTGCAAAACACGTAGGCACAGAACGTCAAAGGGGCGCGGAGGGAGAAAGCGTGGAGATGAGACGATGCTAACTCTGGGGTTCTTCTTTTGTTCCGCTGGTCCTTTAGCAACAGAGGACTGAAAATCTTTCTAGCTGTGTCCTTAACCTGTGTCGTACAGGCGTCACGGCTGGCTGTCACGACTGTATCAGCATCGGCAGGCCAACCAGCTCTTTGTCTCAAAGAACCATTCAAAAGTGGAGCGCGAGTGTGCCCCAGGTACTGAGGCATCCAGGCTGGGCCTCCAAGCTCAGGGGATATTTAGCAAGAAGCCCAGGAAAAGATAGGTGGGCACCCTGCTTGGTGACAGGCTGGACTCACGGACCCCAGGGGCGCCCTCCCTGTGGACGGGAGGGACGCCACACAGCACACAGAACAGCCCCAACCTCTACCATCCCCGCAGCCTCGGCAAGACCCCGGGGGTGAGGCAGCAGCTGCTGACCATCGGCCCTGACCCGGAACCGTGGTGGGTCAGGTTCAACATCCCAAAGCAGTCCTCCGGTTCCGTTTCAAAATCAGACATCGTCCGATCGATCCCTGCTGGGGAGCCATCAGGCCGGCTGCTTCCTGAGGTCAGCCAAGAGGAGGGAAGAAATTCATTGGCTGGGTCTGATTGTGGCTAACTGAAATCAAAGACAGAGGGGGCACTTTCTTCCAAGGAGAGAAACTGTTCGCTGGGGACGGCTGCCGAGGGCAGGCAGAAGGTAACGGGAAGGCGGCGGAGACGTGGAAATCCTCAAAGCTATCCTTCCGCACCGCACAGATGGGGAAACCAAGGCACAGAGGGCGGAAATGATTTGCTCAAGGTCACTTCGTAGTTGAGGGAAGGCTCTGACGTATAGTGACAACACCTAGCATTTATGGAGTGCTTATGGTCATACAAAGACTTTAATATATATATATTTATATAATATATATATAATATATAATATATATGACATATATTATATATTATATAATATATACTATATATTATATAATATATAATATATTTATA